ATCTGTACCCCACTGATCTTGGTGGCACCTAGACCAGGCTTATAATTATTTGTAGGCATTCACTTTTCCAAGTGAATCACTACATTTTTAAAAACAGATGCTTGATAGTTCAATAACTGATAGTGCTGACAAGACTTTTTAGTTCAAGTAATACCTTTTCTGAACAATCATCTTTGTCACAAAATATAAAACGAAATCCATTAAACCCTTTTATAAAACCCTTTGATAAACCCTTTATCAGCGTTTTCATGACTTTTGAGCAAAACTGGTGCAACTCATTTTCAAGCCTCTCCACAAGCCAGGATAGTCTAATCTTCATTTAATTTCTTCACTAGTGTTTCCTTTCTGGGAACGGGGCCTACTCGCAATGTTAATAAGAAACCCCCAAAAGAATGTAGAACTTGGTATTGAGTTTTTGTAACATGAAGTACGCCTGCAAACATAACAAAGTTTTTAATTTATTTGAGCATAAGAGAAGAGAATAGGGGAGTGTATAAAAAAAAATCCCTCCCCCCCCAAAAAACCCACAAAAAAACAACTCTCAAACTGTGCACCCCACAAAATCGAGTAGGTAAATCAACATTAACTTTTCAGCATTCAGCCTTCAGATATTAAGATGAATGAAGAAACTGAACTATTCTCTCATACTGTCTGTATATCCTGATATAACCCTTCAGAACAGTTTGTCATGCTGAAATTTTCAGTGTTTAGAAACATCAGAATTAGAAATTTTTGAAGCATCTACAATGAAAAAAGACACTTTCAAGTACACACTGCATATAACATTTCCATGGTATTTAGTAAAGTCTGGATGTTATCCCAGAACTTATTTTCGCATATCCATTAGTTTTAGAAAATAATCTAACACTGAACTGGACCAGTAGTGATGCCTCTGAGATCACACATTCAGAGAGTCAAAAGGATATTTGTGGTTTCAAATCATGTCCATTTGAATCACTTGCCTCTCTTGCTACAGGATAAAAATAAACAAAGAGAGCCAAAGTAAAAAGGTTGACACCAAAACTGCCACATGTGTTGTATCTGGTAGTTTGCTAATTTTTGAGAATACAGCTTGTCTAGACATGTTAAGAACATTGTTTTAAAGGTAAAAGCCTAGACATAAAAATTATCAGCTACTGGACCTTCTAAAAACATGCTAAATTAAAGAGGAATTCTGACAGGCAACATCTAAGATAAGCCCCATAAATATCAGCAGTCATACCACATGGCAGTCACTAATTCCAGTCAGTATGTAACTATTTCTGAGACAGATGTCCTATGCAAAGGCACACAGTAACCAAATCACAGCTATTGTGGAAAAAAAAATAGCTAAGACATAACAATTTTTTAATAAAACTTAAGTCAACATTTACAGTGAAAGAACAAGAAATTGGAAATTCTAGAAATATTTATTTTACAGTGAACATTGAAAATGTTTAGCTGTGTCCAGTTACAAGCTGACCAACTCAGAGTAAAGTCGCCATCATTTATACAGTTAGGTCGTCAGACAAACTCTTCTATAAAATCAATTATGAGAAAAATGTTATTGGCTCCCTAACATCTCTCTCTGGCAGGAAGAATTAAACTTACGCAGCAGGTTAATCTCTATGTTCCATGCAGTTTTTTCTGCTGACTTTATAAAAATCTGGAGAACTTATGAACTACTGTAAGTTTGCATTCTCGATGCCTTTGTCCTCTACCACAGCCTTCAGAGAATCTAGCAGCATCACACGTATCCAACTGCACAAATGCATGCTACGCCACATGAGCTTTTCTGCTGGAGGAATCTCTCTACAACGGTTGCTTTCCCATGAGAATATCTTCCACCCTACATAAACAGGCCTCGAAGCTGAGAAACAAGGGTTCCATCCTGCACTATCTGAAGCAGGATTACAAGTTTAATAGATAAGTATAAAATGCCACTATTTTATTTTTCTTTTTTTTTTTACTTCCAATGACTCTTGTCAGTTTTACAGCCTTTAATGTTGAGAAATAATTTATTACTCATTCCTAACTCACACAAGATGTCTTAAAGAACATTTCCAAGTGACAAAGACAAACTTCACCCACTGAATTGCAGAGGTCATTAGAAAAAAACCTCATATATTTTGCTATTCTATTTTTAAAATACTCCACCCGTAAAATGGAATTATCCAAATATATCTACAAGACCAGACTATTACGTAGCTTCTTCTAGTGGTCTGGCCCTACCTCTTGTTTCTTTTGCTATTTACTCTAGTTAGTTGTTATATACAAATACTGAAAGTCTGTGTTCAAATGCTGTAAACTTGGGTAGGCATTAAGAGTTTATACTTCAATGTACTTCTAACATAAAAGCCAAGGAAACTAAGCCAAACCATATAGCAAAACATTTGTAACTGATATGAAAAGAAGAAGCAGTGAAGTCAGCAAAAAACAGAGTCAGTATTTTAGTATTCCAATCTGCCCCCTTGTGAATATGCATTATAGTATATTTAGTTACACGGTCAAACTTGACTTTCCCACCACAAGATTCAGGAAGCAAGACAGATGTTCTGTTTTTAGCTGAGTCTTCAGATATTTGCTATGAATCATCCAAACTTTGTTTTGACCCTGAAAATAATATGTGTGTGTGTGTGTTTTATGTAAGGCTTACCGCTGTGCAATAGGTTTGTTTGCGCAATACTCCTTTGAGGGAACGAGCAACTAAAAAGACATAGGAAAGCATTCACCAACTTTCAAGGCCACTGAAAACACATGACAATTCAATACAGCCCTAAAATACCACAAGAACCACCAAAGCAGCTCTATGATACAGGATGAGAAATTAATAGAGTGAAATTTTATACCAGACATCAGAAAGATTTCCTCAGAGGTTGAAGTCACTAAGCAAGAAGAGGGAAAACCCAAATGGAGAAAACAACAACTGCCCACTACAAAACACATTCTATTGAACAATCCAACTCTTTTTAAGATGCAATTTTATAACACAACAGCCATCTCTAATTTCTGACTCTAAAATAAGGTATCTTAGAGTTAGAAATCTGCTCAGGTGATCTAACTGAAAATAATCACAATTATCTAAATTGCACAGAAGTAGAAAATTATATCCCTTGCAGTTCAAAATTACTTGAAATCTGTGAATGAGTAACTTTTATTATAAGGTTTTTCTGCGAAGCAGCAGCCATTACTTTTATGTCTAGCTGAATGCCTTCCACTGTTGGAGATTCTTTATTGCCTTCTTACACTAAAAACCGTAACTTCCTGCAGCCTGTTTTGCCTCTGCACTTTTCTGCACTCTGAAAGAAGAGAAATACCCCCCAACCCTTTTTTCCCTCCCTTCCCACTTTCCCTTAAAGCCTGTAAAATTCCATCCAGCTTTGATATAGACTTTAACTCCCCCAAATTGACGTGGCCATTTTTTCACTCATACGTTGCCAGCACCAATGTGCACTACCAGTTCAGTAATAACTGACAAAACATATAACGCAGCAGAAACAAATTTTAAATTTAAGGGTCAAGGACAAATTAATTTTGAAACACTACTGCATATTCCCCCCCCCGCCCCAGCAACAGCCCTAACCTCACCAACTCCCTTAATTGCTCATGCCTCCATCACAGAAGTTCACATGGACGTTCCACACACTTTAACAAAAAAAACCCCAACAAACAAACAGAAGACAAGAACATAAGTTAAGTAAATCGGTATTACATTTCTTTCTGCTTCCCTCTTTCCAGGATATTAGTCTCCCCGTTGCCAACTAATGCAGTTGCCCTAGCATTCAAGCTGTGATTTGCCCCCTTGTGCCTGATATTCAGGAACATGCTCACTGTGACTGGTTCAAGAAAGGAGGCTCTTCAAATCATTAAGTGCAATTCTTACTGTAAGGGTACCTCAGCAGTTAAAATACCTGACACTACACATCCCTCTGCTGTCAGTATCTGCCTAACCTTGTTCATTTTTACAGCTGGAATCAGCTGGAATGTGTCTTGTCCTCAGGAGAGCAGGCAGCGAGGGATTTACAGCACAGTAACTAACCTCAGGTCTCAAGTTTGCTTATTCCCTGGCATACTGTTACATCCTTGGGGAGAGATAACACAGCTGACAAAAAATGTCACAGCCCCTCAAAATAAATAGTATCTGTCCAGATTTGGTGTGTGCTGCCAACTCTGTTTATGTTCCTGGCTTCCTCTCAGAACATTTCTAAAGCTGTGGACTTTGTTAGAAGAATAAGGAAAGAGGAAGATTCAGCCACATATCTGTTCAGAAAAAGGACTGCGCCTGTTTCTCGTCACTCTGTAGCAGCATGTTGGCATTACAGCAATAGGCAGTGGTGCTCGGGTAGCAACGTAAGAGCCTAATAAATAAAACATGAGGGTTGCAGTGGAGAAAATTCAACAAAATTTCATGCATGCTTTTCATTTTTCATGCTAAGGATCAGAATATTAAGTACATTTCAGTGCCCAATTTTGTATTAAGTATTAAAGTCACTCATCATTCCTTGTATTCCATTAGAATTAGAAACTCCAATCAAAGCCCAGCATGTCAGAGACAGTACAGTCAGTACTGTAAAGTGTGATACCATACTTTTGTATGCGACAATTAAGCGTCTCTAATGAAATGCTTATGTTCTAAATAGATAAGAAAAAGTAAGTATCTGTTTTGCCAGCATGGAACTGAAGGTAAGTGGGAACCAGAGACTACTCCTCCTACACACATTCTAGGGTTCAGCACAAGTTATAGAATTAATATGGTTCTAGAAAGAATGATCCTGATATTAATCCGAAAGCATCAGAATATTTTAATTATGGGATTGTTTGTTAACTGCAGAGTAAATATCAATAAAGCCCCTCATATATAATAGAACATGAAAAGAAATGGGGTGTGTATCTGTTTTGTATTGCTCAGCTTTAAAAAGAAAAGCAGTTAGTTTTTTATTAACCTCTGTATGCCAGATTTTAAGCTAAAGAAATGCAGACCTTTTCACACCAAAGATCACTTTAAAAAATATACCACTTACGCATTTCTTCAACGACATCTGGATCACATTCTCTGTATTTGTCTATTTCTGCCTTTAGCTGCTCTTTTTTCTGTCGAAGGGCAGTAAGTTCTTCCATTAGAGCTGCACGTTCTGCCTGAGGATTCAAAGTATGTTGGGAGATACAAAAAAATTGCAAACATTAAAAGCAGTAATTATCACACAGAACATTTTTCAGAAAAACAATACATAAATTTAAAAGCTGCTTTCAGTCAATGAACCACCTGAGCATTTTATTTTATTACACAAGATTCTCAGTGACACTCAAGTGATATCAAGTACAAACTGGAAGGAAAAAAAACTAAGGCCAAAATGGATAAACAAAAGGACAATTTTCTACAACCTTTGAGCTCAGTGAGGTTTGACAAACTTCAAAGAGATCTCTCAAGAGATCTCTCAATTATTTGGCTTAAAGGTTAAACAAGTGCTAGTCTTGTAATTAAAGACGGCATTACAGGAAAACCTACCATCCACCCTTCCACAAACTGCTATGCTGTGTATGAACACTCTCTGAATTTATTGTTCTTATTTGCCCACACCACTTGAGAGCAACGGTCTCAAAAATAAGCTCAGATATTTATGACACAGTAGTCTGTTGGGAGTGTACACAATATCAACCTCAGAGTTTCTATCGATCAGTAAGAATCTGCAGACACTGACTCAACATGAGCTCTCCCACAGCCAACTCAGCACATACTTCTAATTCAGTCTGTAGTTACAGACAAACGCTGTACTGACTGATACTCTAATAACTCATGCCAGGGCACTGGGTAACCTAAAAGAACCAGATAGCATGAGTTTGTAAACCATCAGGTCTTCTACCAGTGGAAATCTCCATGGCAGCCCAAAAGTGTGATGTGTTTGTGGGGGTGAGGTTTTGTTTAGGTTTTGTTGGGGGTTTTTCCCCCCAATATTCCATATTCACAGTGCTTTTGCCAACAGTCTGGGTTCAGCATGTTCTGAAAATGCAAAATGAATGGAAAACAAAAGTTTCCAGACGCTGAGGTATGGAGTTTTAAGATGCTCAGAGACCTACACTGTGATAGATTTTTCAGGACTTCTTCCTCATGTATAATAAGGAACCAAAATATTGGAAACATCAGCTGGAACAGGATTTCCAGAACCAATAGTTTTCTGTAGGGCAGAACACATGCTGGAGCAGACCAAATCCGGAACAGTTCATTTGGAAAGATGACAAGCACAACTGTGTGAGAAACCCACCCATGATTCCCTGACTACATCCATTGTGAGTGAGAGGTCAGGATGTGTAAAGATTCACCATTAAAGATACTGGCAAAAATCAAGTTTTAATTAAATTTGTGAAGTGCGACTTCAACAGAGATTGATGGCAAGGTTCACTCTATTAGTTACTAGGTAAAAGAAGCATACATAGGAAAAACTTAGATTGTTTCTATAAAACAGTTTGAATTCAACTATTTGGCACTTCACTACAAAATTCAACTCCTCCTGAAAGCTTCTGGCTGTCCCTCTTTTATGCATTTATTTACTGAACTTTAGACAGAGCATCTCAGTGCAAATCTGCAACACAGAACACCATATCAAGTACTTCTAACTAATATGTTGCCTCACACATATAGTAAACATAAAGCCTAAATGTTATTTTGTAGTGCCAACAGCTTCAGTGTGCAAAGAGCACCGGGCCTACATGGCTGCTCAGAACAGTAACGTAGCAATCTAAATAACATTTAAGTTTTAAAAAAACAACTCCAACATCTAAATTTGTCATTACTAGACTTGGCAGTTCAGCAACCATTGGTACTTTGGTACATACTTCCGGATAGTTCAAGTTTTAAGATATTTTTAAGTCTGAAAGTACCTGGAAGGACTACACTAGCATTTACAAGAAGTGCATACTGGTAGGTCTATTTCCTTGTTCCTTCCCCTCAAAGCAACTTACAGTATCTTCACGTCCAATTTTTGATTTCTCAATGCTTTTTTGTAAAGCCTCTTTCTTCTGACTGCTTTCAGCAAACTGGTAAAGGAAACACAGAACAAAATCAACCCTTTTGAGTAATGTATATTAAATATATCTATAAAATCTGTATACATATTAATATATTTAAATTGCAGGTGCATATACCCTTTTAAGATACATATATTTATAAACTTATGTAATAAAAATAAACAGAAAATAAACACAAAAGCACCCAAGTGTAAGTCCGAGGCTCTGAATCACAGTGAAGAATTACAGGAAGCAACCCAAAGTCTAAGAAATTTTTGCTATGGTGGTGCATAATCTTGCATGTTCAGCATGGGACAAAATCCTATTTCACACCATAATCTGGCATCTGTGTGCAAAGGACTCCATATTATGGAGGCCTTGGATTAGATGATTTCCTTTGGTCCTTTTCCATCTCTCCCTATTCAGTGGAAGCAGTGACAAAGGCTGTAGCAGGTCCACCTGCTCAGCAGCTGACACTGGTGTTCCCTAAGTCTGGCATGCCACTGGCATGGCCCCAATCCCTTTTACATGCTGGTGAGCAGAAGCCTCAGTAGCTCAAAGGCCTGTAAAGCAATGGCCCCCTTTTACTGTGCTCCCTCACACTCCCAGACCACACAGAGTTCTCTTCCTTCACGCTTGAGGCAGAGGAATCTCACAGAAGTCACATCTCACACGGCTGGTGTGAATACTTCCATTTTCCTGTTATTCCAGGACAATTAAATTTGGAAAGAGAGATCTCTCTCCATTAACCTGCCACCCATCTTGAACCAGGCCCTACCAATTCAGCTGGCAGTTTTCCAGAGATATTTTGAAAACTTTTTTTAGCTGAGGAGGACATATGACTTGCCCCTCAGGGACACACATACACAGCATCGGACAAAGTCCCTTGAAATATTAAATAAGATGAATGAGAATTTAAAAACCAACCAAACTAATACAATGTAGTTTGAAAACCAGTTACTGCATTTGAAACCAACACAAGAGGGGGGGAAAAAAAAAAAGGAGAAACAATAGCGCTTTTTAAGTACTTCTTGGTTTAGTTTCAAGATGCTCCGAACATCAGTCAGGTAGAACATTAGTGTATCAGACTAATTGTGAAAACGCCAAAGATGGCTGTCAGAGCCCAAGTTTTATTCTGGCCTACCCCAAAATCCCTCACACGAAGCCTCCACTTCTACGGTCCCTTTCTTATAGAGGAACCCACTGAGTGGAAAAGCATTCCTAGACATTTCTTGCAATCCCTAGCCTTGATAATTTAACTGTATCATTTCTATCATGCAGCTGAAACACCAAGGCCCCATTCATGCAAGCAAACTGAATGGTTTTGGAGCTATAGTCACTTCTCAATTTCTATTGAAATTAATGTTCGGTTCATATTTTCAGAAATATGTATTAGAAGTAAATGCATAACAAATATCAGGCAGAGCTTATTGCCAAGTCTTGGAGATCAGCCAGAACAGAAAAGCCAGAAAAGAAACTCCATCCTGGTGGTCCAGATAGATTAGGACCCAGCCCAACTGCAGCTCACTGGGTTTAGTGGTTCCTTTTGTCGTTCGATTTTTAAAAATAACTACTCTTTTTGTGTTCATGCATGTGTGAGCATACATACAAACAAGAAGGTCTCCTTTCTAAAAGGAAGTTTTAGTTTTTCTTCGATTTATGGAGTTGTTTAGTTCCTGCTCTCAGTGCAAGTAACCACAGAGGCAGTGTAGGTTTCAGTGTGTGGCTTGAAGTACACCAACGTCTTAATTTTGGTGGATAACTAAATAGTACTCCTGCTGGGCTTTCCACAAAATTCTTAAAAAATTAGGTGTGTTAGTCCCCATATTATGCCATACTTAACAGAGGGATATAAACAGTTCAGAAGAGGACAAGTACTCAGATGCAGTTTGCAGTTCACAGAGCCCATGGAAGACAAACACCAGAGCCCACATCATTTGGCACCTCTGAACAAAGAATTTTTCTGGAACAAAACTGGCAGAGGAGATAGAGAAGCCAAGGAGCTTATCTAAGCCCTTATACTGCAAGTGCAAAGAAGCAGCTAACACTCTGCAAGAGAGGTCATAAAGGTGGCATTTTCCCCGTTTTATTCATACTTACGAAGTTCTTACAAAATTTTTCTGCATTCCCTAAAATGGATGCATAGAAGGAGCTCTCAGGGCACTGCAAATCATAAAAGCTGGTTTCCAGCTTGGAAGCACGTTTCACAGTATGGCATCTTATTGGTTTCTTGATCCTCTATACTCTACATCATCTAATTATGAAACAGATACTAATGACAAACAAAAGATGAGGATAAGGAAAGGAATAGCCGAAGGAGGCAAGATATTGAAGAAAAGCTAACAGAGAACAAGGATGCAAAGGGTAGGAACAGATGGCCAGGGTCTGTGCAAGGAATCTATGATGAAGAGAGAAGCAGAAAGGCTTGGATACAGAGGTGGTAACACAGCAGAAAATAATTGTAATAAGAGAAGGAAAGACAACAAGGATAAAGGAATCAGAGGAAGGATGTATACAGATCATACAATACTTAACTGAAAGGTAAGGGCAAATGGCAGGTGACAGGTTATATGGCAATAAAAGAAAAAGTAGAATTTGCAAGTGTTGTGTGTGTATGTTATGATAGCAGAGGATCACATCTGGACAAATACGGTAACTTACTTTCCCACTCACCAGTTGTAGAAAAGCCCAACTGCAAAGAATAATAGCAGCAGATGGAATATTTCAATCCTTGGAGTAACCTTGGGACATTTTTCAAGGGAACTAGCAAACAATTTCTCAAGGGACATTAACTACTCAGAGAAATGTGAATCCTGCCAACAGTAGTGAGACTGATGCAGTGAAAAAGATATTGTCTCTCCTCTATGTCTCTTGAAAGAGATGTCTGGTCTGACACATGATCAACTTTCTGCCACAAGTGTAACTGACCAGGTATGGAAAAGAAGTACAGAAAGTTCCATGTCTCCAGTCTATCTGACTACTCTGAATCAGCATATGATTAAGCAAGATGCAAGAAAGTGGCAAAAATATCATTTAGGCGAAAACTGTTCAATGAAGGAGGGGAGACTAAATAATTAAGAATTAAGTAGTTAAAAAGATTCTTCATAAGAGCATTTTCAGTGTTTTCAAAACACAGTGGAAGCCTGCAAGAAGACAGTTTAATGAAGAAAGTTACATCTATAAAACAGCAGAGCTGGGGAACAGTTTCTTTAATTTTACAGACCAGTGTGGTCAATTAACTGACCACTGGCCTACCTCAGACATTAATTCAATTCAAAGTCCCCAAAGGGACAATTTTTCCTACTCTGCAAAGGCCTCACAATGTTTAGCCATACATTTGTGCAGCAGTTTGTGTGTGCAAAGTGCTATGTGCTGATGATAACCATCAGTTCCATCACAGGCCTTGGGGTCTGGTTTGTATCAAAGGATACAGATCAGACGTACACACATAATTTATAATATAGTATGAACACATTAATACCAGGGTTCCACTTCAGCAAGTCAGTGCTGTACA